TTGATCCATTGGACCACCTTTGTGGTGTTACTGACAAGAATACCTCTACAGACCTTGGTTTTCTGTTGAATATCCTTTCATTCCTCGCTTCCTGTATAGTCAAAATTATTGCCACCCTGGTGCTTCCCCACATGATTTGCCTCCTTTTCTTGGTGGATTAAAGGACCAGAAGAGGCTTCTCACATCTGAAGGAGGATACCATGAATATATAGTATATCTACTACATTATACATTTACCAAAAAAAATTACAAATTATTCATGTTCTTGTAAAATATGCTAGATATTTGGTCCAATTTTAAGTATTAAAACAGATTAAGCATGAACACATTCTAAGTTGATCTTTTGCTGTGGCATTTTCATTTTGATGAAAATTTTGAATTGCACATGGATATATACTATATCATATAATTTTCCCTATATCTGAACTGATAGCTGTTCTTTGCATTCTGAATTGTTGTGCTTTTGTGAATGCATACAGCCTTTTTTTTACCTCCATTTCTGAATTGTCACCCTTCATACCACCATCTCTGAATTCTCAAGTTTTGAGTTTCTCCCAGCTGATCCAATTAATTATTGGAGTTGCATAATCTATGGATTGAGTTTTAAGTTGTGTTTGCTTTTCAATTTGACTAATCAAGTTTCACATGATGATATATAACTCAGCTTTGAAATTCAAAACTATCTCTGGACTCATCATCATCTAAGCTTTTTCCCAACTCCCAACTATATGGGGTTGGTTTACACAAATCCTGTTTCGCCATTCCATTACCGTTTGGTGTCATACCCATCATTAAATTATGAGTGCTTAAATCATTTCTCATTACTTCAACTCATATCCTTTTTAGTCTGATCCTAGCCCTTCTAGCTTCTTCAACTTGCAACAGGTTGGTTCTTCTTACAGGTTCTGTAGATGGTCTTCTATGCATGACAAAACCATTTTAGTCTACTTTTATCTCATTTTACTGCCTACTGAAGCTACTCCTAGGTTCCTTTGGATGACTTCATTTCTGATCCTATCCTTTTTAGTTTTTCCACTAAACTATCTCTAGTCTCAATGGTAGAACATTATTTGAAATGCTATAGCTCTGTGCCATATAAATAATCTTAGAACAAGGAGATTAGTAGGAACTACTAGGATGATTGTCTGCTTAGGTCTTCATTATAGTAATTTGATCACTTTTTTTGAGATGGTTAGTGGTTGTCTGTGTGTGTATTGAAAAGGGG